ATATATATATATATATGCAGAGAGAAACTTGAGAGGACATGACAAACCTATAACCGCAAAATGCCACGCACTACTGCCCTCTGACAATATGAATATAAACTACATAGCAACGTCTACTTTTTATGGTACATTATTTAAACTTTTTCTAAGCGCCATACGCCCCAAGTCAATCAGTGCGATTCGTATCACATAATGAATTGGTGACTCTCTTATTATAGACTCTCTAGAAATACGGATGCTACAAATGCTTTAAAGCAATTTTTGAGTGATCAATTTGTAAAATTCTTTTTTCTAATTGGTCAACCAAACGCTTTAAAGCATTGAGACTTTGACCACAGCCTAGGGTACATCGTCCACTTTTCAAGGCTGAAGATGATAAATCAATAATTGATTCATATAATCGTGCTACATGTAGGTCGAAATCGTGTTATGTATTTCGCTATTCTGTCACATTGTGTTTGGGGCTTTAGGTCCTGTGCACAATAGTAGGAATAAGGAATTAGGGCTACGTTCCAAAACTTCCTATTCAAGGAAGATTTTACTCTATATGCTATAGTATACGTTACGTGTACTATACATTTCGAATAAATTTTCCTCGGAGGAAATTTTGAAACATAGCCTAGGAATAAATTATTTCAATCTATCAGAAATCAGATACATCGGAATATACGGTTTCTGATAGATTAAAATTGTTATTCCTTATTGGTGTTATTGTGCGTAGCCCCTTAATCATCGATTTAGCGTTTATCGCGGTTGGTGAAAAAGCCTTAAAAATAATATATAACCAGAAAGAAAAATGCAAGAGCGAGTCATTTTATAATTGTCATACTTATAATTGTCATACTAGTTACTTGTGTTAATCTTTGTTATTCAAATTATAAATTAATTTAAAATATTGAAGTTTAAACAAGAAAGTTTATTTAAGAAAAAAAATATTGCTCATCTTGGAGAAGATTGGTGAATTCTTGTGTCAGCACGTATAACAAAAGCTTAAAAAATTAATCGCTTAAAAAAGATGTGAATTCCATTTAATTAGTCAAATTTAAAACACAAACTTTTAAAAAAATAATATATAATAATAAATTTTCGAAAATATTGTAAATATTTAATTATTAATAAAAT